TGTCAGGGAAGTACGATGAACTTCTTAAACGACTGGATGAGCAGTGCGCTACAATCAAGGAGCTGACAAAGAGGACGGGTCAACTAGAAGCTAAAGTGGCCGAGCAGGACCTGCAATCAGGGAACTAAAGATAGCAGTGGATAATGCGGAGCAGTACTCCCGGCGCAAAAATATCGAAATTCATGGAATCGCCCAACGACCAAACGAGAATATGTTAGAAGTTGTAAAGAACTTGGCCGATAAACTCGAGCTGCCGCAACTTGCCCCTGAGGACGTTGAGGCTGCTCACCGCCTAGGGGCGAGGGAAGGAAAAACAGCGCCAATCCTGGTGAGGTTTGTGGAAAGGAGAACACGGGACCCCTGGATGACAAAGCGCGTGACCTTACGGAATGAAAAAATTTATATTAACGAAAATCTAACAAAAACACTGAAAAACTTGCTGTGGGCTACTAAGGAATGCGCAAAAGCAAAGTCATATAAGTTTGTGTGGGTGCGAAACGGTAAAATCTTTGTGAGACAAAAAGAACGCGCCGGTGCTCTTCGCATCGAATGCGAAGGAGACTTAGCTAAGATAACATAGAAATGGAAAGCACATTCGTCACCATTCAAGAATGGGAGAGTCTTATCGCACACTTGTTAGCAGAAAATGATAATGGCGATCGAAAACTGAGTCTGATACACGTGAATGTTAGAAGTTTACGCAAACACTGGGACGAACTATTGGTTCTGTTATCTGGAAAGCTGTCGTCCCTGGACGTATTGATACTAAGTGAAATAAACATCGAAGAGGAAGCATGTGTGGAATATAGTTTGGTTGGTTTTCATTCGTACTGTCTTTGTCGGGAAAGAAAAAAGGGAGGAGGTTTGCTGATGTTTATAAATGATAGCTGTTTGTCGGAACGAATTAACGTTTCCCTTGATCATTCAGAACTCTGCGCAATTTCTGTTCACAAGGCATCTATTTCTTATATTGTATGCGCAGTTTATCGACCGCCCAATTCTAATTTAAAAATGTTCTGTGAGGAACTCTCACCATTATTGCGCCAATTTGATAACAACCAGCATATTATACTGGCTGGTGACTTTAACATAGATGTCTTAAACGAGAATAAGTATGGGGTTTCAAACTGTTTAGACACGCTTTCCTCCTTCGGGCTCGAGAACGTAATACGCGATTACACAAGAGAGGAATATTATGGCAGTACAATAACTAAGTCATGCATTGATCACATAGTTATAAGAATTAGTAATGCAACATTAGTGCCGGCGGTAATTAAACAAAAGGTAGCTGATCATTATTTAGTAGCACTAGCAATATTGGGTGAAAGTCCAAAAAATGAAATGTCAAACCAGAGGGTATTTAAAACCATTTTAGATAACAAAAAGGTAGACCATCTTATCAGTGTGTATGACTGGAATTCATTATTAGTACATGACCATGTTACCGCTTACGACTTACTCGTTGATAAATTTAAAGAGATATATAAAATATCTGTCAGAAATGTAAAATTGAAGCAAAGAAAACACGAAAATGTCTGGATTAATGAAGAGATTTTAGAACTATCCCATTTGAAAGACAGGTTATGGCATAGATGTAAACAAAATCCGGGTAATACCACTTTAAGAACCGAATATCGTGTGCTAAGAAATAAGTTAACTGTTAAAATTAGATTAGCCAAAAGAAATCATTATACTAGCAAATTTAGTTCTGCGAAAAACCCAAGGAAAACATGGGACCTCGTGAATGAGTTGATGGGTAGGAAAAGAAAAACTAACACTGACGATACAATTAGAAAGAATTTTCCAGCATTAGATAACTACACGGAATTAGCCGAATCTTTCAACAACAGTTTAATTAGTACCGTACAAGCCCTAAGGCAAAATATAGCGGTGCATGTAAATGATGAACCGGCTGACCAAATTGACTGTGTAAATTCAGCACATCTACCAGAAATAAATGAGTACGATCTGATGAACATAATTAATTCAATGTCAATAACGAAAGTGCCTGGGATAGACCAAATTTGCATTAGGTATTAGCGCTACAATTTTTCAAGTGTAAAACTGGTCCTCCTCGCTATAATTAACGGATGCCTGACAACAGGAAAAATACCGGAAGGACTAAAATTGTCAGTAGTGAGACCGCTATACAAAAAGGGTAGTAAGAAAGAATTAGGAAACTATAGGCCGATATCGATATTACCAACAATTGCTCACATTCTCGAAAAATGGGTACAAATATGTATGAATGACTTCTGTGAGAGATTTTCGTTATTGAACAACGGGCAATACGGTTTCAGGCAACAAAGGAGCACTATTTCATTACTTGAAGTTTTCTCGGACTGTGTTAATGAAACGCTTGAAAATAATAAAGTAGCCCTTGCCTTGTTTTTGGACTTATACAAGGCATTTGATACAATTGATCACGCACTCCTCCTATTAAAACTCAATAAGCATGGTTTCAGGGGCCCGTTTCAGAAATTCTTCACTGACTACTTTACAAACAGGTTTCAGATGGTTAAAATTGGAAGCAGCACTAGTACAAAACTCAGAGTCGATTGCGGCGTGCCACAGGGTAGCACACTAGGTCCGTTATTGTTTAATATATATGTGAATGATCTAGGGTTATTACAACTACGATCTAGAATGTTTCAGTACGCGGATGATACCGTTCTATTCCTACCGCATGACAACTATAACCAGGCGGTTCCGCTGCTTCAAAGCGATATAGATGTATTAGTTAACTGGTTCTCAAGTAATCTCATTTCTGTGAACGTCAATAAAACTAAATTAGTTTGTTTTCGTAATCCCCATAAACAAATTACTCTAGTACCAAACATATATCTTCACCTTCATGATCATGCTCAACACATTTGTACGTGTAGACCATTACCTTATGACTCCTCGGTTAAATATTTGGGGTTAATATTTGACCAACATCTCCTTTGGAACCAACAAATCGAATATATTATTAAGAGAATGCGGGTGGTATCGGCGTACCTTTACAAGCTAAAAAGTGTATGTTCTGTAAACTTGCGGAGAAGTATTTTCAGATCGCTAGGAGAATCTGTTCAACGGTATGGGATTACGATATATGGGAATTGTTCAGAGTACAAAAAACAGGGAATTGATAGAATCATAAATTTAGTGTAAACAATATTTCTTACGGGTCAGTGTTCGATAAACTAGACATTGAAGAAAAAATGCGCGCGTTAGAAGTATTGTCATTTAATCAGTTTCATAAATATGTGATAATAACAAGTAATTATTATAGTAGAACATTTAAACAAGAGGTAAAAAAAGAAACTTGCGGCGTACAGATAGGTTCAAGGTCCCTAAGATACAAACAAACTATGGAAAAAAGTTAAAACGACACTATGTCCCTTCGATGTTCAACTGTTTGCCAGAATCTTTACTGAACTTGTCATCCTTTCGTGCGGTAAAACGAAATGTAAGAGAATGGTGCCTCACGCTCGCGCAATAATAATTAAATAATTACTTAGCGCGTATTCGTTGCCCAAATGCCTACATTGCTGTTGTTTGTTTGTTTTGTTTCTCCAGTGTTCAATGTGTCACGGTATTTTGTTGGCTGCCTGGTCCCACATACAAGCATCTTTGCTTTCGTGGGCCAGCACGCTTACACCTGTATTTTTTCAAAGCTAATAAAGATATTATTATTATTATTATTATCATCCTCTCCCCGTGACCGTGACGTCACATTCCCACACCCCCCTCCATGGTTCGGTCCCATTACCTCGACCCCAAATTTCGGGACCTGTCACTCATGAGTGTTCCCAGAGGGTGCGAATTCACTTGAGTCATTCGTCAGAGGGTGACGTAACGCCCAAATTTAGCGGGTCGAATCTTTTAATACCAAATGTAAACAAATTTGGCGAAGAGCACCTCAAAGTTCTAACACTAGATGACGCCTATCCCAAAATTCACTAGGTCCAGCAGGGTCTGTGAGCTCTTCAAAGTTTACGCTGGAACACAATAATTAGCAGGGACACTTGAATGCTTTACACTGGTCCAAATAGTAGCACGGCTTGTGAACTTCAAAGTTTTATGGTTATCCCAGCCAAAATTTAGCGGTACCCAGCTGGTGCTAAGGGAATCTTCAGATGAGGCCCAAATTTAGCAAGTCTAAGTTTTTACCACCACGTGTCAGCAATTTTAGCGATGAGTACTTCAAAGTTCTAACACTAGAGTGTGTCTATTAAAAAATCACTGGGTCCAGCACGGTCTGTGAGTCCAATAAGAACCTTGTTGATCGTCATCTAAAACCAATAAATCAGTCAATTTTAAAAAGACATAAAGAAAGCAAGGATCATGAGTGTGTGCTAACGTTTTGAGCCCTGTAACAGCCAGAAGGCGAGCCGTGAGACAACGCAGATTATCATTCGAGTTTACGACCCCTAGCCTTGTGCCTGCTGCAGGAATAGTAACTTTAGCGCGTCATGTCGCTTCCCACATGCTTCAATTTTCCCCCCTCTAAAATTGACTGATGGGTGGCTTTGGATGACGCTCAGCAAGTTTAGAATTGGAACTACATGTTTAATTTCGAAAATAAAAAAAGGAAATGCACACATTTTAGTTAATTATATTACATATTGTGCTGATTAGCTCCCTATAATATGCCCCCCTGGCTGTAGACCTTACCTGCACAGACCGCATTAATGTGCCTTTCACGGTTTGATTTTAAACAATCTCTCCGAGTTAGAATCAGGCACACTGTATATTCTCATTGTATTAGCTATATCAAAGCTGCTCACTATGCAAAAATTAAGTTGTCGACCTCCTGCTCTTCAGTTTTTTTAGATTGGTCAGGGCTCTCGTAATCAAAGTAATTATGAAATATTTACTGGGTAATATCCAAGAATAAATGCATTACGGTATTTTCCTAAAACTCTTAAATTGCTCATCACGCAAGAATTACTTAAAAGCTTGAGTGCTAGGTAGGTATTACAGTAATTGTTTGGATCTTTGAATTTCTAATCAATTCAAGACAGTGCGTTTCGAGGAACAACGTCCAAGCTTCCATATTTCAGCAAATGCCAAGGATGGCGTTGCATGCTTACCTTCGCCCACGTGGCTCCATTGGCAGCTAGAGCATCCGGCAATCCGGATTCGCTAGTGATGTCCTTGTAGTTGACCATTAGCGTGAGAACGGCAGAGATGGCCACGTAGACGACTGTGACGATGCTCATTGACACGAACGTCGCTATGGGCAGCGATTTCTGGGGGTCTCTGGCTTCCTCCCCGGACGAGGCTATCGAGTCGAAGCCGACGTAGGCATAGAAGCACGACGCAGACGCGGCGAGCACCCCGTGCCAGCCGAATGGCATAAACCCACCGGTATCCGGATTGGTCCAGTTGTCAAAATTAGCAAAGTAAGATCCGACGGCGATCACGAGCAGAGCCACACCGATGTTCACCATGGAAAAGATGTTGTTGATGTGGGTGGAGGCCCGAACACCCACAGACATGATTATCAGAAAAGCCAGAATAATGACGAAAGCAAACAGGTCCGGCTCTTCCGAGAAGAAGGGCACGTTGATGCGACCCACGTGCTCTTCCGACCAGGATTTCATGATGTTGCCGAGCAGGGAGTCGATGTAGGCGCTGCAGGCTCTGGCCACGGCGGCGAGGCCGATCACGTTCTCCAGGACCACGTTCCAGCCGACTACGAAGGCCCAGAACTCTCCGACAGCCAGGTACGTGTAGGAGTAGGCCGAGCCGGCCTTGGGGAAGCGCACCCCGAACTCGGCGTAGCTGAAGGCTGCCAGCAGGGACGCCACGCCGCTGATGAGGAAGGCTACAACGATGGCCGGGCCGGCCACGGACTTGGCCACCGTGGCTGTGAGCACGTAGATGCCGGAGCCCATCATGTGGCCGACGCCCAGCAGCGTGATGTCGAAGGTGGAGAGGCAGCGCTTCAGCGACGTGTCGAGCACGTTGGAACCCAGGGGTTTGGTGCGCCGCAGCTTGCGCACAAAACTCGCAAAGCCGGACTCCATGGCGGATGCAGGCTCCGGTGGCGACTAGCCTGCCTGAAAGACAAGTGGAAACAGCCCAAGTCAAAATCGCGTGCATTATTCAAAAATGGAGGGAGTACTTCGTCGATTTGGGGGATTAATTGGATGTCACTTCGAATGATCTCCCAAAGCGGCAAACACTGCTTTTAATGCCTGTTTTTAGCCACGTTGCATTGAATCGCTTTGAGTCGATCATTAATCCGTTAGAGGGGTACTCCAGCGACTCTCTGAGCAACCCCAACTAATTATATTTTTGAAATCACCTGCCTATCCTCTTTTCGGTGGGCCAATTACTATTGCTAAATTCAGAATCGTTATTGTGAAAGCAGCAATTGAAAATGATGCCAAAACCAATATTTAAATATACCCGAGGTCCTCAGACCCGTAACGTCAAGTGAAGGCAGGCTTGCAGGTCCTGTGGGCAGTCCAAAAATAAACTACGCCCAGCATATATTTCGTGCCGCTGCTGGGATAGTAAAGCGAGCTTCGGCTCGCATCAAGATATTCAAAGTATGTTCCCGTCCTTTTGCTTCGAAAAGCAAGTAGCTGTCTAGATTTGCAGTGCGCACCTGACCTGTCAAAGCGAATATATTTAGGTTGCGTTTTCATTGCGCGTCATGACGCTGCCCCACCGCGCCCGTGGAGGCAATGTGAGAAAAAAAAAAAAAAAAAAAAAACAAGAACAGGTAGAGATTTAACTTCACTAACGCGTTCACGTCGAACTGAAACAAGAACAGGAAAGCCGAAAGGACGGCACATTAATTTTTTTTGTATTGTTTTAGTCCTCCCCGTTGCATTTTACCGCACATCGACGGACACTGACAGACACTGTATTGGACAGTGGCTCCTGCATGATGGAATGCTAGAACGCCACTTTTATGGTCGCGTCACGCGAGTGTTGCCACCGTTTTAAGACGAATGCGGTATAGCAGACGGACGAAGAAGGAAACGGACGCCGACGCGGAGCTTTATGTCCGCGTCTGGGCATTACGACGATAGACGGTGGTGGAATAGCAGACGGTGCCGGAGGCTGCCACTCGTCTGCTGACACGACCAGCAGGCGGTGTCAGACGCCAGACTAGACGCGCCTCGCGATAACACAATATGGAGATTTATTTTTTTGTTTCGCTACTCTACCCAGAGCGGGCCGGGCCCACTTAAATTAGTGGTTATAAGTAGCGTTTTTAAAATATTTCTTGTTCATCGATATTCTAGTACGCCTGTAATTGATCAGTGCATACAAAAACCGCCCCACGTTTTATCAATTTTTAATAACAAAACTTACAAATAAGGTTTTGTTTTTGTTTTGTTTTGTTTGTTTCGATTTAAAGGAAATGCGTGGTTTCTCAATCGAGAAAAGTCAGGCAATTTAGAGCACATGTTCGCAGTTGCTGCATAGCAGACGATTTCGGAGGTGTTGAATTGTGGATACGGTGGGAATGTCAAAAAATAATTTTACAAATTAAAAAAAAAAGAAAAAAAAGAGAAGGGAAAAAAAGACGGTATTGTTTTTAGAGATCGTTTTAGATAAGGAAGTAGAAGCAATTGATGGCGTGGAAAGAGCCAACCGCGCTTACGTTGCCGAGATACACTTTGGGTGCGATGACACGTCACTGTAGACACGCGGTGGTTAAGCAAGAGTGGGTCATGAATTAGCGGCACATTATGGTGGTAAAAAATATTTGGTGTCTATACCTCTTGTCATTCTGGCTCGACTGTGCGCCTCTTAAAAAAGACAAAAAAAAAACAACAAAACAACGAAACTTATTTAGTGGTACTGGACTGACCCTATCGCATCCGTGACACAGTTTTTTTTCTTTAAACTCGCGATTATTTCAGTAACTGCTTTGTCAGGTTTCCAGAACTTTTAGTCTTGTTGGGGGTTGCAATTCCTCTACGCAAACCTGGGCAGCCTATATGATGCCTGAACGTCTTGAAACCTCTTAACGTCCCCACTAGCTCAAACTGATTTGCAAGAAATGGCGCTAGCGTGCGGAGAGTTGAAGGCGCCGATTGGTCAATGCTGTATGCCCAAAGGCGTGGTTACTTCCTTTCCAAGCCCTAGAGACCTTTTCCACAAGGGCGCAGCCATCTTGAATGTCGTCACTTCTAGTATCCGGTAAAACACCGTTCTGATCTTTCCACGCCGCTTGAAGGTGCTTACGAAAAATGCGTGATCATCACACATGCTTCTTTAGCCTCACCTACATTTTCTCGCATATTCCAGGTAGAAATGTTTTATTATTTTTTGGTGCCGCATGCTAGATACGAAACTCACGTGAGTGAGAACGACAGGAAACAAAAAAATGTCTATAACAACTGACAGGATTAAAGCCGCGGGGGCAGAAGCGCCACCGAATGCATGGGCTCGCGTTTGAGGCGGATCTGTTTTGCCGCTTTCAGCGCGCACTTCCTAGCTTCGATGACGCTTCAGCGTCTCGTGAGCCTCGAGCGTGCACGCGCACTTAAAGCACGACGAAATGAAACGAGAGCGAGCAAGAGGCCGGGCGTTCGAAAGAGACGCCCTGGCCTTCTCATCCGGTGTGTGTCGACAGTCGCTGTGGGCTTGAGCCACTCTGCGTAGTTTTGGAGAGAAGAATGGATGCAGCTCAAGTCGCAGGACGCGATTCTAGTAGCTCAGTTCTTGTATTATATGTGAAACAAGTCGATGAACGAGAATGGCTATTATTTAAAGGTGTCACTTCAGCCTGACAAAGCTGTAATCTAATAGAAATGTTGAACACAAAGGCTCCAATATGGCAGCTTACACACACAGCCATGTGTGTAAATAGTGAGACGGCTGTACGACAGGATTCGTTTTCGTTCATTAAAGAGGAATACCTTTTCCAGCTATTGCGATTATATATATATATACATGTATAAAAATATCGTACACAGATGTCAGCTATCAGTGCTGAGGAGCAGAGAAGAAAAAGGCAAGCCTGTTTATGACCTCCGAAGCATTTCTGTTCCCACAACGGTGTTTGTCGCCCTCCGATGCTGGGCGTGGTGCCCACCAAGAGCTGTGCACATAGAGCGCACACTGGCCAGGCGCTTACCTGGTTCGGTGGGCTTCTAGTCAGCAGCAGCGAGGGCGTCCCTGCCAAGCCCAGCGTAGACCAGCGTGCAGACCGAGTGGATGCGTCCTCCCCCCCGAGGCTGCAGTGGCCGCTGCCGGCGCACTCCAAGCTCCGCCTCGGGGAGCAACGGATCGATACGCCAGCCACGCATCCCGGGGACGGCCCAAGCCGTCGCCGCCCGACACCGGTCCGCTGCGCACGAAACAGAGGAAGACGAGGTTTTCGCGCCACTGGTCGCTGTCTCCTCGTGGCTGGCTCTGTTACATTACTCCTGCTGCTGTGCCTCTGGCCAATATTGCCCTGGCTGTGTTGCATATCTTACCCAAATAGATCCAAATTATTATGGCGGGTAGGGTCACGTGACCACACAGAGAGAGCAACGCAGGACGCAGGAATGTTTTCGAACACCAAGTAGAAAACCCTTACCCAGGAGTGAGTAAATATTTTTACGCGGTCCCTGTCAGGACGCTCACTTGGATGCGTTTTGGGGGGTATTGTATTCTTGCAAAGGAGGCATGCCAGCTAATAGCGGTAGCGCGAGCTCGGCGCGAGATTGGCGCATAGCCCGCTGCTGGCGCCGCTCGCTATCGGCACGGATTGATTACTAAAAAAAATGGAGCCTTTCATCTGGGAGAACCTGGGGCCCTATGTTGCGGTTTTTGGACTCCCACGGCGACTAGGGAGAAGGAAGTGACGTCAACGACAGAGCAAACGCAGATTGGATGTTGACAGAAGAAAACAAAATCAACATGGAATCTGCGTTTGCTGCGTTGTTGACGTCACTTCCTTCTCCATAGTCGCCGTGGGAGTCCAAAAAGCGCAACATAGGGCCCCTGGGGCTCTATGCTGCACGTTTTGGACTCCGACGGCGACTAGAGGGAAGGAAGTGACGTCCACGACAGAGTAAACGCAGATTGGATGTTGACAGAAGAAAACAAAACCAACATCCAATCTGCGTTTGCTGCGTTGTTGACGTCACTTCCTTCTTCATAGTCGCCGTGGGAGTCCAAAACGTGCAACATAGGGACCATGGTCTCGGCTCTGTCGTTGACAAATTTGCATTAGCGACGAGTATACTGGTTCTCTGTCGTCGAAAGTCATCGGAACTTCAGGGAGGATGCGAACCTGGATAACGGCTACCAGAGTGCAGCCAAGAACTCGCAGCAAGCATCGAGAAGAGCCACGTTTGGAAGGACCACCAAGGAAGCAGTATGTGCAGCAGTTCTCTCTACTTCTCGACGTAGTCAGCGTCTCAGAGTACGAAATTGCCACACCTCGGGAGAGTATTAGAATTCGACGAGGCATTTCAGAGTTTCGAGCTTTTTGTCGCTGCGAACGGCACCAAAGGAGAAAAAAAAGCAGTTACATTCCTAACAGTCATCGGCGATCGAACGTACGAAGTCCTCAAGAACCTAGCAGCCCCAGACTTGCCAGGCGCTAAGACGTACAGCGAGATCAAGACCGTAAGAGAGGAGCACTACGGCCCGCGTAGCCCTCTGTAATAGCCGAACGCTGTAAGTTCAACCAACGGTGCCGGCTAGAACATGGTTCTGTGGAGGATTTATTTGGCCGTTTAGCTAGATATTGCAATTTTGAGCATTTTTGCAGAGCTCTCTCATGGACAGGCTTGTAACCGGCCTGAAAGACGAAGACACTCAGAAGGAATTCTTTGCTTTTTCTTGAAGAAAAGGCAACTTTCGCAGTCGCTTTCAAGCTAGCGCGCGAAAAAGAAGCAGCAGCAAATCATACTGCGGCTATGAACCAAGAACCGAAAGCAGTCAGTGCTATCTATCGGAAGGTGTCACCTCCTGAGAACAGGGGTGCTATGTTGCGCTTTTTTGACTCCCAGGAGACTTGGAGGAGGGAAGTGACGTCAACGACTAGAGCAAATGCAGATTGGAT